GTATAATATATACAAGCGCGCGCGCGCACGCGTGTTCGTATCATATCCATAAGACGGTTTCAGCCGGCCGAGCACGAGACAATCGCGCGTCTCCGTAATATATTATATTATATTAACCGTCGACGTCTTTTATTTTTTTTTTTCGGGTACACGCCCTTTGTCAGGGCTCCTCGCCCTTTGCGCGACGATATTGTCTTTTTCTTCCCTTCTTATTCTTCTACTTATTTTTTTGCAGCTCAGCCGTCGTCCTCCTCACAATGTAATAACATACAATGCATTATACAATAATAATAATAATAATATACATGTGCATATAATAATAGGCAATAGCGTGTCTTTTTCGCTTTCCTCCGCGGTCTTTGTCGTCATCATATATTATTATAGTTAACAATTTTTTCTTCCTTTAAACTCAACGTCGAATTTTTTATACTATATTATTGTAAGCGAGCTCACGCGCGCCCATTACCTCCTCCCTCCTCATAGCCATCACACACCCCCGAAAAGACTACTCGTTTGCAACAATCAGCGCGGACGCTGCACGCGCTGCAGCTGTTCGCAGGTGTGCGGCCACGACGACAATAATATTATATAATATTATAATGTAAAAAATCTACCATGCGACGCGAAAATCTCAGGAATGCGCGAGCGTCGTAGTCCATCACCTGCATGTTCCGAAAAAACGCTCACCACTTTGGCGGAATTTGTTATCCCTCGTTGTCTTGTGTCAGTCTCTTGTATACATCGGTCTATACAAACTATTTTTTATCGGATAAATTATTGAAGGAAAACGTTCTTAATTAATAATATAAAATTTTCAAAAATATGTCTATTAAATTAAAATGTTCATAATTTAATGACACATTTTTCATATTGTGTCAATTAAAAACGAGTAGCATACATTTATACGGTATCATTTATCACATTAATCTGTGAGATACTGAGTACGAGTTCGAAATAGTTCTAATTAAAAAAAATAACAACGCATATTTTAGTAAAATGTTCATTTAAGGATTATTTTGATTAAAAAAAAAAATGTGTTATGGTATGAAAAAGTTCTATGTTACTAGACCAGTAAAGTGTAAAATTTTTATTGGTTTTAGGATGAAAACAATCTATATGATTATGTATGTGTATATAATTATATTTGGATGTATTTAGTATTTTATCATTTGGTTTTATCATTAGAAATTTTTCCAGTTCTTCAAAGTTATAGTTTTCACGAGTTTTTTGTATAATTTTCTTTTATTTTATTACAGGTTTAAACCTTAACTACCTAGTGCATTTAATGACCATTTGTATTTTACACCCAGTTCTACTTTCATGTTTTATACTAAATCGTAGAATTTTAAATCTTCAATTTGCTTTGTTGTTGAAAAAAAGACTAACTTTTTGTTCTCAATCCGACGTTTAACTAGGTGTTAACTTATATACATTTACAATAATAGCGTTATACTTTACAGCCGTTTCACGATCTTAATCACACTCCATTACAAAATATAAGTTATAAATTAAAATATTAGGTACATTCCTTATTATATTAATATTCCTTTGTGTCTGCGCAGTGTGCACGTCTAAATAGTACCTACACACTATACGCACCTCGGTCTAGTTTTGACCGCCGCAGAATCGTATGCTCTGAATATTATATTATATGACGTTTATACGCACAATAACATCTGGACGATTGGTCGAATTTACTTAACATAAATTACATGCTTAGTTATATATTTTTCTTCTTACAATTTTTTTCACAAACATCTGTATTCTATTACACGCTCGACGAATAATGACAGATAGTGTCAAACGCATTCGACTGTGTACTGCAGTGTATACATTAAACTTTTCTACTATATTATATAGTATATATTACTTATATGATAATAGCGCATGTCGTATGCAAGCATTTGTTCGTGTTTGTGAGTATGCCAGTATATCCTGTATTCGTTCTGTATGCGTTTTTGCATGGGAATATAGATTTAATAGTTACAGGAGCTAGTCAAAGAAAAATGAAGTTCAAAATAAGCTATGGGGCAATACCTCTCACCCCCTTCCACCATCATAAGAGTTAATAGAGTTTAGTAGTCACAAGGATTCTTATAAAATGGAAGTTGAATATAGATATCATAAACACCTTTACTACGCCTATTTTTGTACATATGAATATAAAATAGGTATTATGTTTTCATCCACTGTATAAGATCTATGACATATGGTGATTTATTTTGACCAAAATTAACTTTAAATCTATAGATCCATAATATTATCAAACCATAATAATATTATTATTAATACATATATTGTTTATTTATACTTTTCCATCGAGACTGCTGCTATCATGTTTTTATGAAATACTAATCATTTGACTATGTATTAGAAACGAATGAATCATTTAATACATAAATAGTTAGATACACGTAGGTAAATATTAATTGATTTACTTATTTTGTTAACATAAATTTCTTTATTTTAAATCAATTTTTTTTAAATGCTTTCCAAAATGTGTAAGAAAATATAATAGTATTTTCAAAGAAAACATGGAATAATTAATTTATTATATTATGAAGATAAATATTTGGTAAATCGCAATCCTGGAAAATTTGTTATTAATTTTCAATAAAAATTTTTAGTTTTATTTACTATTTGGTCGGTCTTTGAGAAAATTTCTTTGTGCACATTTGCCAAGACACTTTTAATACGTATAAATATATAATTTTAGATTTTGAGTAGAACTATGAATACATTACGAATGTATTGATTTTACAATAATGTGTTATTTTTTCAAAGTATTTTATCATAAACTTCTATAGAAACATTTTTGATATAAAATTGGATCTAGATTGTACTTTAAAAGGGCCTAATATTTTTTACAATAATTAAAAAAAAAAATAAAATCCAAGTTATGAAATTTTAGTTTCTACCATTTGGTAACCATGGCTACTAAAAGGTTATTTTAATAATAATGTGTTTATAATACATAAAAATTTAAGTATTAATGTAAAAAATTATACATGAATTATTAACTAGTAATATTGTATGAAATAATATCATCATTATTATTACTATATTTATTTTTAATATAAATATAAATATAAAATAAAATATCTTTAGAAAACCACTAAGTACACATGTAGTAATACATACAAAACATTATAATAATACTTAAGAGTATAATACATAATATATATATATATGGTAGTTTAGTGCCGCGTTACTATTGTCAAAACTATACCAAACACGGATTGTATAATAAACTAATAACTGTTTTTTTTTTCTGAGGGGTCGTGTTCAAACGAGTGTGAAGCATAATTTTCTTAATCATATAAGCATTACCTCACAACGGAATTTCATCGATAGAAGAGATGAGGTTTCATTACACAAGGGTTGATTGGGACTTGATTACCCGCATTAACATTGGATTATATTTCAAAATGAACTCCGTCGGCGGCAGCGGCGCCGCAGATAGTTTGTACGACGCGGTCGCGACGTACGCATCTCAGCGTACATATAACTGCCCTTCGGCCATAATCTTATAATATTATTATTTATTACACATAGGTATTATTATTAAACCACTTAGACTACATGACACACCGTTGTAGTATATATAACCACTATAGAAGGTATAAACAATAATAACAGTATTATTATTACACGTTAATACGTTACTAACTACTTGGGCACGCGTCAAGACAATAATTATTGTTGGACAATAATACCTAAAGGTATATATACGTTTGATCAGGTTTTAAGCTATTGCTTATATTGTAATATTATATACCGGTATGTATAATCCGCTATGTTATGTAGGTACGCGTGCGTCGAATTGAATTAAAAAATTATTTTTCTCTTTGGATTTAGAATTCTTTATAAGTATACCATATATAATATAATATACTACATACATAAAATTTAATTGATATATGACGAAACGACCACTTGTTGAGCAGGTGACCACGTTGTTTTTTTTCGTACAAGGCGTCGGTATTTAAAAGCTGTTCCAACTGTCGAGGCCACCTGTCGATCGCCCGTGTTAGCCACCTGTCCCCTAGTTTTTGTCAGTAGACTCGTGCCACTCTACCATCAAAGTAAAAACCGTCAGCTGCTGCGTCTGTATACGCATGTAGGTTTTTTCGTCTCATAACAATTATACCACAGACGCCACTGAAACCGGCGTTTATATTAATGATCCCAAAATATATATTAGTCGCATCAAGATCTGTTTGATCTGATGCTCTGTCTATAATATACGGGTTATCGTTTATTACGTTTCGTTAAATATAAGATACATTGTTGCTGTAATAATTGTGTATACAAAAAGTACTTTCTGAAAGTCAAAATTGTCAAAATTGTCAAATATGATAATATTATGAACATCTTTATGGATTTTATACATTATTAAAATATCATTTGTTATTACTTATTACTTATTATTTATGTGAGTACCTATACATTTCAATGCTAATTCAGTAAACTTAAAACTATCCATTATTTTATTTGACTAAAATATTATATGATAAAAGAAACGTCATTTACACATCTTTAAATCAAATAATCAATAATTCAATATTTTTATATGCCAGGTATATTGTATATGTTTGTAATTATTTATAATACAATGTACGTAGTTTTTGTATTTAAACGTACATTGTGTTTTATGTAGGTATACTGATAAATCTAGTATTTGCTAAGAATTTTATATCGTATGTAGAGATTTATCATTGAATTTAAATTTAACACATATTACTGCAGTGACTTATTCAATGACAAAGTACCTACAGTGTATACTCAACACCTATCGTAGAGCATAGAGGTTACCCTACTTTTCATTTTTTTTTTTAATTATTACAAATTAAATTCATATAATCTATCCACATTATTTCAGGAGGTTAGTCCCTCGAGCCTTCTTCTTACTCCACTAATGAAAGTATACAAAAAATTCAACAAAAAGAAAACTATAATATGATAAACTTATTTATATTTTTTTATTTATTTTTCAACATTTAACATGCTGCATCTTGATTATTTAATCTATCGCGAACAAATTTTGGTAACGGTTTTGCTTTGAAAACTGGCAAGGTATCCGGGCGATCTGCTTGTTTTAATTTTGGAGCCCATCCCTTTGGTGCACCACTCGGCCGACTTCTGCGTAGAAAATTTCCTGCAATATGATTTAGAAAAATTTATAAAAAGTTGACATAAAAGTATCTATAATTGTTGTAAATTACTTTTATTTTCTGCAGAAGGATTACAAGCTTGTTGAGGACAATCATCCATTTTTTGGTTACTTGTCGTAGGTGGTCTTCTGCTAACATTAAGTTTTGGTGCTTGTGGTTGTCTAACATTAGGTGGCCTTTGGTTTGGTGGCTTTGGACAAACTTGTCTTGGACACAATTGTTGTACTGAACTAGGTTGTCTTGTACAAGATTGTTGCACTGGACTAGGTTGTTGTGAAGTTGATCGATAAGAATCTTTATCAGGTATGGCAGGCATTTTTCTGTCTTTATAAAAATATGATTCCCAAGTATTTCTTGTAATAAGTTTGACGTGTTCTATAAGCATATCATTCTTGAGTCTTGGATCACCCAATTCGTAGTGTATATGATAAAAAGTAGACATTATATCATCTAACATATTTATACCATAATCTCGTTGTGTTTTCGAAATATATTCTAATTGATTATGTACGCTTTCATAAAATGGGAGTAAACGAACGAAATCCTTGTCATGAAAAGCATTATCATTCCATTCACAATCATTGAATGGTTTGATAATTTTTGGTGGATTTTTATAGATAGCTTGCAAGATCATCTTAGCACTTGGACTATCTGTACATGGAGGATCTACTTCTATTGGGTTCGATGCAAAATTCAAATAATGTTGTGTTAATATATTAAAAGCTTCTGTTTTTGTTTGAAGGTCTTTTTTTGCTAATGATAAATTAGTAAATGCATTGGCTACTAAACTTGATTTACATACTATCTGCTGTATATTTTTTAAACTCTCGACAGAATCTGAATCACTACATTCTTGGTCATTGTCTATTATAGAACATTGTAGAGCATTTGTTCTAAGTTCTGGTTCAACTGGTGTTTTTGGCATACGTTGAAGTTTATTTCGTGGTGGAGATGGTGTGTTTGCAGTTATTCTGTAATATTCATGTTGAGTTATATCAGTTCTAGAATTATGAGGCACATATGTAGGACCAGCACTGCAGCCAGGTTCAGAATGCGGGAAATAAAAGTCATTTCCGGCAGGTTGACGTTTGCATTCCAAAGTACAATTTTTTATTTTTTTCATAGTATCTTCAAAACCAATACCACAATTTTTACTTGTGGGCTCATCAAGTTGTTTCAACTGACATTGAGTCCCAGATATTTTCCCATAGCGTTGTTTTGAATTTAATTTAAATGTATATTTATTTTGGTCTACAGTACTTGAAAACATTTTTTTTGAAGCTTTTGGTTTAAAATTATGTGTATATGGCCAATCAGAACCAGCGCATTGGTGTTCGAAATCCATATCTGGAGGACTAATATCGTATAAACTCTGGTATGTATCAGAACCACAGATGTCTCCAAAATTTACATGTTCTCTCGGATTTATCTGAGTTCTCTGCGTGCTTTGATTTTGTCTGCGAGGTTTTGAGCTCTGTTCAACACAGTTTTTATTATTGGATAATTGATTTACAGGACATTGTAGTTCATTAACTTGTGAGTTGCAATTTTCAGTTTGTGTTTGACATGGACTACAATAACTACTAAAATCTATGAGATTATTATTTTTAACACATTCACGTAACGATACCCATTCTTCAATTTTCGACCCGGGGACGTAAAGCCAAAATTCATTCCACAACTGTTGGGTTTTCACAGTCTTAGCTCTCCAATTAATTGTTTTCATAACGTCTACAGGATGTTTATTTGGATGAAACAAATGATAAAAAGTTTTACATACTTCTCGAGCTACTATTCTAGCATATGGATTATTAGTGTCTTTAATTAGTCTAACAAATGGATTAAGTATTCGTACAGCATCACGAAGCTCTTTGGGATCATATCTTGGTTCTTGATCCGTATATGGGCAATTTTCATCTTCGTTTGTTTGTGACTCAATATTATCAGCACATTCTTCTTGTATAGGTTCAATAATTCTACAACTGGTTGTTTGTGGGCGTTCACATCTATTAGATTCCGAACTTTTTCTTCTAGTCATTGGTTGTTTTCGCGTGCATGAATTTTTTGAAGATGGCCTTTGACTCATATTTAATGAAATATATGTAGTGCAGTATTAAAGTTACTAATATAATAAAAGTCTAGATATGTTTGTCTCAAAATGGAAATTTAATTAAAAATTATTGTTATTTAAACTCAGTAAAATTAATATATTATTTAATTTAATCAAAAATATTCCTTAGTAACTAATATAATTGATAATAATTTAATAAAAATAATTCCCAAAGTGTAAAGTAAAGTATTGTATTGTATTGTATAACATACAATATCATCATTATATTATTATGATATTAAAAGCAAATGTAAAATTACAATTAATTTATTTAGATCAAATTAAAAAAAAAAAAAATTGGTTTACTATGTTGCTAATTTGTATTTTTAATCAAATTAATTATTTACCGTTGATGAAATATTTTTATTTAACGATTACTTGTTCAATATTTTCATAATAAATGTAATTTATTCTGAGGCGGTAGACATTAATGCATCATACGAAATCCTACTTATAATAGAGATAATATATTATAATTTATAATTTATAACAAGCGCAGATTCAGAAGATAGACTAGATGGGCCTGTGCCTATACCAAACATTTTCAAATACAATGATTTTGATTTTTTATATTCTATTTAAATGTTATTGTATACCTGACGCCTATATTATCTTTCATGGTTAAATTTATTAGCCCATCCAAAAAAAAAATTCAAAATTAGCAATTAATATTCGATTTGATTTGTTTCAGAATATAGCATATAGTATTTAGGCTTATTACTCACATTTGGTAGGCCAATTAAATTTATAAACATATAAATTGATGTTAAAAATAAAGAAGTTAAGTAATATTTTAAACTGCCCCGGCCCACGTGTTGAAACCATTAAGTGAATCTTTGTAATATTATAAGTTTAAGAAACGTCTGGACACAATTGTCGAAGTGTGTATACATATTATACAGTAAACGGCAATGTGGAAAACGTTTAATTAAAACTTCATGGGTTGATAATTTATTGGGAACTTTAAAAATAATTCGAAACTAAACTACTTTGGTCGGCTTTTTTTTTTTTTTTAATCGTTCTCGAGTATTAAAGTATAATGATAATATAAGTTATAACTTATAACCAAGCTCAGCATGCTTACTTACATATTATAATACATTATATTGATTCAGATCGGTCATAGAAAACTTTTTAATTTGTATTACAACCGCGGAAGTGAAAACGTTCGTCTACGTTCACCACCTGTTTAAATGGCCTCTGGAATCATAGTAATTATACAACAACAATAATTAATAAGTAATAACGATAATACCAAACTAAATACGTATCGCTTAATATTACGAAAAAAATAGAACGTAAAAAAAAATATGTGTTAAAAAAAATAAAAAATAAATAAATAACAAAAATGCATATAATAATGAGACATACAACGACGGGGTAAAAGAAAAAATTAATAACCGTGTACAAAAAAAAAAAAAAACATCCTCAATAACCTGACGTGTTTTTACGTTGTAGATTAATGGCTGCGGCGTCAAGACAATAATGCGCGGCGGATATAGTTGCGTGCTTCGGTTAATGGAATCGTGAACGTTTGGCGTGTACATAGTACGCTGTACAACAACAAAAACAACAACAATAACAATAACAACGACTTTGACTACGACTACGAAGGCTATACGGTTGGGAGCAGATGTGTCGTGTATACGCGTATATAATATACCAGGTAGGTACCCTTAATATAATATATTATCTAACCCATATAATATAAATGTGTATGAACTACGAAACGAACATACGGAATGAGATGCCCGGCGGCGAAGACAGTGTTATACAGACGATATTATTATTATTATTATTATTATTATATTATTATTATTTGCCAAAGAAACGCGGGACACAATAGCTGACGGGGTATCGCTTCCACGTTCGTATAAAGTAGGTACATATTATATTATTATTATTATTATTATTATTATTTTTGGTCTTCGTCTTCGTGTCGTCGTAATCGTCGTCGAACCGTGTGCGAGGCGCGGACGGCTGCAGCACGGACGCGCAGTGTTTAGCTACAACTCTGGCAGCTGCGTCGTCGATGGAACACGGCGGCGGCGGCGGTTGCGATCAATGGACGACGCGAAGGAACGACCATACACCATCACACGTCCCTCGGGGGGCCTCCGCGTACAAAATAATATTCTCTTAGAAAGGAATACGCCGCCACAATCGGTCCTCGTTTCCTTCTTATTGACGAGACGGCTGCTGACTATATATCTATATATACATATAACATATATGTAATTTATTTGATATATATATAATATAATAGCACTGGGTTACCGGGCTCAGTTTTTCTCAAAGTATACATTTTTTTTTTTTTTTTTTTGAATAAAAATTATTTATAGTATTTATTATAGTTTAAATAGTCTATAATATTTAATATTTCTTTCCACGACTATATTGTGGTAAAATCACTCAAAGACTGCATTTTCTTTTTGCTCGTTCACAAGCAACACATACAACATTTGGCATGTAAAAACTAAAGTTTATAAAACTACAACAATATACTAAAATGTTTGACATTGAACCTTATTAACTGTAATTTAATTATTGACATATTTAATACAGTCAATTATGTGTTGACGCTGGCGTAACGACTAACAAACCGGTTTTAGATATTATTTCAATTTTCCGATTATAAAATATTCTTTAAAATTATCAAATAATATCAATATTTTAGATTTTCGTAGATTTCAAAATGTTGAACAATAATTTATTATTAGGTGGTATGAATTTTCCAGGAGATGGGACCTTGACCATTTGAATTCCTTTTATAAAAAATCCCAGTAGTTAGGGAATTGTGGGGATGTTTTTAAGAAAAATGTACAAATCCACGATATGTAATATTATTGCTTAGGTTAATAGTATAGGATTAAATTATTTATACATAAATGTATATGTAATATAAATAATAAATCCAATGATTTACCAGGATTTTTAGCTTGTACATGTATTATTTGAGACTTGAGTAAAAAGTTACTTATTTGTGACACTTGACCGGGAGTTATTTATTATCTGGTTTTTTTTTATGAAATACTTGTAAAAAAATAATGATAAATAATAATCAAAATTGATTATTATCTCCTTATATTTTATCAATTTTGAGAGATATTTCTGCTGATATTACGACTTATTTATATAGCTAAAACATTTTTATTTCGACTTATTAAAAATAAAAATCTAACCAAATTATTTCTTGTCAGTTAGTGCTATTTTTTTAGGTACTTATAAATCGATAGTCGTTACAAATACAAAATACTACATTTTGACGACGACATTGTTAGATAAAAATATATTCTATTTATCAAAAATAGTATAGTACACTAAAATTACATTTACCTGGTCATTATATATTATTTTTGATCCGTGTAGAATAATTTTAAATAACCTAGAAAATCTTTATGTACAAAAAATTAAGCCATGCTAAACTCACGACACAATTGATGAACAAGAGCTACGAGATTAACTGATAAAGAGAGTATTATACAGAGTTCATGTGAAGACAACACAATAAAATGTCAAATTACATCTTTTCAAATATCTGTTAGATAGACCATCTTGGGTTACAGCGCGTTGTATTGTCAGTATGGTCGGCAGTTTTAAACGATTTATTCATGTCTAAAAGGTATGTATTTCTCACGAATTTAGACCATAGTCTATAGATATTGTAATTTCAGATGGATAGCTTGATTATTGTATTTCACCTGTAACTTGAAAGTGAGATTTTAAGAATTTGAATTTGATCGCTTTCAGTAATCGAGTAAATCTGTTATATAAGCTATGTATAAACATAATATACAATATATAGCAACTGCTTTAATAAAAACTGTTAAAATAGGATTGAAACTATGTTCAATTTTATAATTAGGTACAACAAATTACGATTAAAAAATATGTTAACTATATTTTATGTTTAGTAATTTTTATTTGTTTTGCAACGAATTTCGAATCTTTGAAATTAGGTCTCTGGAGTATGAAAATTCACTATTACGTAGAATATACGTACATTTAAATTGGTTTCTCAAATAATACACTCAATTAATCAAAGATTACAGAGTGAAATTTGTTAATGATAATTTATTATATATGTTATCAAAATATCTTCAAGCGTATGGCTAAACTAAACTGCATTAAATTGAATAATCTATCGTCTTCAGAGTTGTAAATAGAAAAGGCTTTGCGAGATTGGTCCAGGCCAGGGGTACAAAAGCCAAAATTTAATATATCTATATGTTATTCTTAATATAAATAATATATATATTATTTTGAATATGAAAAAAGTAGTTATACTGTATATTAATATAAATCATAAATGTAGGGAAATTTGTATGAAAATGATGTAAAATTGGTTTTAAATAGATAAAATAAGACATAGCAATTACTTTACTTTTGTTTCTTTTCTGTGTTTAATTTGAATAATTTTCATTGAGTATAGTACACTTAAGCAATTTCGCAGTAGGTATCTGTGTCACTAAAAATAGAGTTCAGTCTGCTATTGGTATAAACTTTACAAGTAGGTACTAATATAAATAATACAGTTGTCAATAATTGGTTGCATTTAATATTTTGTTAATATTTAATAAATATTCACTAAATCCTGCATGTTTTAAATATGAATTCCAGTTACTTGAATAGTTTTAAACATTATAAAATGTTTAGTTATCATATTTTTTCATAGAAAAAAATAATCAAAAATTATTAACAATACAATTATCAATAATTTAACATAATCTCAGTACTCAAACGATGCTAATACAAATTTAAATCTATCATATGTGTTATGTATTTTTAGTTAAACGTTTATATTATTACTAAAGCGCGGATTTTTATGCACTTAAAAGTATCGAAATATGGCATATAATATGCAGTAAAAATAATGAAAATATGCAGTCAAAATTATGAAAATATGCAAAAATATACAAGAATTTTTTATTTATTTAAAATTTACAATAAAACTTATAATAATTAATTACTTAAATACTTAATAATAAATAATTTCTAAACTTAATTTATT